AAGTGAAAATCTACTTTATTATGAATTGTTTTATTTCAATGTCTTCGGCCTTACCAGAGAGGCAAGGACTAAGATTCAGGATTGTCACGACGTATTTAATCCTTTCAGGAACAATCATTTTTCTTGTAATTTGGCCAGAAACTTTTTTTCAATTTTATCACAAAACGTCCCTGTGTTGAGTCTGTGCCCTCATGTTGGGCCTTCTTCATTAATTTCTATATGAAAAAAAGTGTCCCTATGCCTAATTGTCCGTATGTTGAGGCGTCTGCATTTGGGGGTCTCACTATTTGGGAAAATAAATCCTGGTGACTTTGGGATCTGTATAAGGATCGCCTTGAATATAAATTTACCTTTTTGAAAGGATAAACGGAGGAATCTCGTTTAAATTTCCGCTCTAAAATGCTGAGGGATTTCATAATAATGTTACGCAAAAAAATTAATTGCGTGAGTTTCATTATTATGGTTAATTGTACTGTACCTAATTGTTTGACATGACTATAAAATCATATCAGGGGAAAAAACCTCGGAAAATTAAACTTTCGCGTTTTTTTCCAAGATAAAAAAATTTAGTTCATCCCGAGAATTTAAACTCAAATTACTGTGCACAAAATGCCAAAAATAGCATACAAAAAGATAAGACGGAAGATTCGGACAAATAAGTCAGAATCGAAACTTCATTTTCCGACAACTTCATTTTACGGAATATTTCAAGGTTTTGGATTATTCAGACGTTTTTTCCGCTTGAATATTCATTTCGAATTTCGTACTTCCGTGGATAAAATAGCAAGTTTGACTTTTTCATTATTGTTGCCCTACCAATTTGTATTCGCTATCTCTTGGCCTTGGAAAAATGAAATATTTTTTGTTTGTTAGTGCTATGAAAAGTCGGCTCAGATGCTTTGTGTTTCGAAAAAAAAAATAGAAGAGGTTTCCAAAATGATTGAATTGATTCAAAAACATCCTTGGGTTACAATTCGAATTGACATGACTGTAAATTATGTTTTCTTGAAGATATTACACGTTTTACAGCTTTCTCTTTTTTCTTAAAAAATCCGAAGTCTGCAATTATGATTTTTTAATCCATTAATTTCACTATAATAATCGCACGGGAGGATTTTCACACAACATGAAATCATTGTCTTTCTAGTGAGCCAGAAGAACATCTCGAAATGACTGAAATCAGCATTTAAAAAAAAAGCAATAATGAAAGAAAAATGATTGTTCCTGAAAGGATTAAATACGTCGTGACAATCCTGAATCTTAGTCCTTGCCTCTCTGGTAAGGCCGAAGACATTGAAATAAAACAATTCATAATAAAGTAGATTTTCACTTGACTCTAAAATGGTCATGAGTTGAACTCCACTCAGTTTTCAAACTTATTGCATAAATATATACTGTATTACCTTTTTACAGCCCATGCTAAAGTTCATGAACGGCTACGAGGAGCGATAAATGCAGGCATTTTTTACGCTTGAATTACAAGAAGAGAATTCTCTTAAATTTCTGAATCTGTGTTTTTTAACTGAATGAATATTTTATCGATTGCACGCATACAGGTGTAGAATTATATTTTTTTGTCTTGAGTTATACCCGGAAGCTTTGATTTTCGGTAGGATTTTTCTTTTGTAAATTATTCCGTCCTTCGAAGGTTTTAAAACGGAAGTGATGGACGTTAAACTGCATTTAGGAATATCAGGACACATTTTAATAAAGATTTGAAGATATTTGAAGCTGCTGCTTGAATAGCTTCTGCAATTTCGAAATGAACAAAAAATGTTTCAAAATTGCCCTTGACTACATCTCTTCTTTCAGAAAATGAAAACTTTTCGCGGGAATTGAAGCAAACCCGGATTTTTTGAAGGATACAATCGAACCCACTCTGATTGTTGTTCTAGATGAGAAAAGGATAAAATTTGGGAATATACATTTTTAAAGATCAACAAGGTCCTCGATCCTTGAGCAAGAGCAGAGCAGTCTTTGAGCCATGGAATTCATGTAATTTTCCTCGGTTTTGCCGATGCTCTTCTGATTTCGCGGCTTTCCAGCCAAGAGATTAGGAAAGCAGGGAAATCAAGATCCGAAACTTTATTACAAAAAGGGAAACAAAGAGGGAAAAAAATGACAATGAATGCAACGTTGCTGTTCATCATCTAGCTGAAGGTCGATCGGCTGCAGTAGCTAGCTAGCTTCATCCTCCGGCTATAAAAACTGCGCCTGGCTTCTGCCAAATCTGCGCATTTTACCAGAAATTCCCCGCTGGGCATGTGCTCAAAAGTCGAACTTCAAAAGCTTTCCAGCAGTCAAAACTGTTCGGCACTTTTCTCAAGATTTTTTTTTTAGGAACAAAGTGAGCCTTCTGTGCGTTTCAAAACCGAATCCTGAAACGCTTCTTTTGAAACTCCCACACATTTTTGGCTCTCGATATTCGATTTTTTGAAACCCCACCGATTTTTTTTGGTTTTTGGTGGCAAAATGCTTTCTTGAGAAAATTTAAAAAGAGGCGTAATGAGAAAGTCGAAGAATTTATATAAGTGCTTTTCAGAGTAAAATCTGCAGACTTTTTTCCGTGTGAGAAATTTCTGTTTGTGTTTTCAGCATGAGAATAAAGACAAGGGACCAGAAGACCGGAAAACATTATATACTATGGAAAAAACTTTTCTTTCTGAACTGAACCATAAACGCATAAAACACTAACCGTAAATTTTTTGCTCATGACGGGTAAAATTAGAAATTAGCATAACGAATACGCGCCCGCATTTCCCTGAACCTTATTTACTTATTTTAAAAAATTGAAGACAACCAACAAACATTGATGCCTTCAGATTTCGATCTTTGATGCACATTTTAAAATAAAATATCAGGTTGACTTCATATAAATCAATAATTTGGTCAACCCAGAGTTAACTTAAAGCTTTTCGTTTAAAAAATATAATTTTTTTCGCACATCAAGTATTTTTGTATTTCCTTGAATTTTTTCTGCAGTTCAAGCCAATATTTCAGCAGGCACAGATCTTGCGAAAAGTTTGCCAAAGATATCTAAATCGTTAGTTATTCTGAAAGAAAATCGTAGAATAATTCAATAGTAGAATAATTCAACAAACAAAACCCCCCGATTTTTCTTCAGCATGAAGCCTCATGCAAATTTTCTTTTAGAACTATAAAATGTGTGTTGGACCCAATCCATTAGAATTTGAAATCAAATGTCAGACTTCGAAGTTCATGTGTGTTTTTTTTATCAAGTGTCACCAAGTGTGTCCATTCATTATTGAATGATTTTCGTCTGGCGCGGAACTCTTCAATCAACCTACATTAAACTGGAAGATACCCTTTCTGTCTATCTGCAAATTTTTAAAATATTTGCATTCCTTTCCCATTGCAGAACTTATTTTTGCGCCCGCGGTGTGAAACTCGGTTGGATCAATCCAGAAGTGGCGACATGAATTTGATAAAGATCATTTTTTTCTTTACGGTGAGAGAATATCATGTGAAATATTTTTCTTTTCCTGAGGAATTTCAGACGCGTGAGTCAGAAATGAATGATGCTCACATTTTGTTCTTGCGATGGTTCATACAAGAAATATTCATCGCGATTTTAGGAAGAATTAAGTAAGCTGGAATCTGTACGAGTTTTTATTCGGTTTTTATCTTAAGAAAATATATGACCGAAACACTGAAGTGAAAAATGTTGCGAAAAGCATTCATCATTATTTTTCAATTAAATTGTGCATTCTTGTGTTCTTCTGCTGGTAGATTTAATCACAGTTGAACTTCTGTGAGTCAAATTTCAAGGGACACAAAAAAATTAGACTTAGAGAGGTTTTGACTTCAGGAGGTTTTGAATAATTCAGGTTTGTTGAGTGACAGAACCAAGCATTTTTGTAACACAAAATATGGAAGAATTGCAGAAACTTGTAAATTATATTCTGAGCATTAAATGTATCTGAAATGAAATGACAGGATGCTGAACTTGGAGACAATTCATTTGTCAAGAAAAATTAGACAAAAGGCCTCCCAAAAATTTGAGTTAGGGAGGTTTGAGAGGAAAAAGCTTCAAGTTAAGGAGGTTTGTAATACAGTTGAACCCTGTTGAACTGCCCACAATTAATGGCCACCCTTGCTTCCCACCACTTTTTCCTCCCAAATAAATCTTCCCAAGCTTGAAGGGATGGTAAAACACGGTTTATCTACCATCCGCCAACCGACAATTTTTTTTGCCAAACAAACAGGATCTTGGCACTGTTTTATACCCCAATAAACCACCAATTTTTGGCTCCTCTCTTCAAGGCTTTATATTTCTGGGTAATATTTTTAACAATTATTTGTTTTCTCCATTTAAAGATGCAGAATGAGAGATTTATGTCCCCACAAAAAAGAATGAACAGTCATCTTCACCAAAAGCAAAATGGGGAGGGATAGAGGATGATACATTTTTTTTAAATATCAAATACACTTATTCATTCATTAAATACTGTGGCAACCCCTCCCTTGTTAAACCGCCAATACTGTTAAACTGCCCAAAATTCTGCTGCACAAACATTGGCAGTTTAACAGGGTTTGTCATACATTGTTCCTTGGGGAATTCAATTGGGATTTGGAAAAAAATTTGAGTTATAGGGAGGCATTTGACTTTGGGAGGTTCAAGTTATTAAGGTTCAACTCCATGTAACTTTTGTCATTGTCATGGTTTTCGTTGTTTTAGGAGGCAAAGCTCACTTTTTGAAGCTTTCGATTTCTGATTTTTATTTTCTTGCGAATTCTACAGAACCTGTCCTAATTGTCTTGTTAGAGTATTGTAAATGAGATGGTATGTTAAAACCTGCTGTTAACGTATATATTATGCAATCAAGTTTGCCTTTCAAAGAAAAAAATATTAATTTTTGCACTGGAGTGGAAACTTCATTTTGTTTTCAACAACATTCGGGTATATCTACAGATAATAGCAGTTGTCATATTGTCATTCACGGATCTCACTGACGCGAGAAAGGGAGGCGGTGGTGGAGGCAAAGGCGGCGGCGGTGGAGGAAAAGGCGGCGGTGGAGGCAAAGGCGGCGGTGGAGGCAAAGGCGGCGGCGGTGGAGGAGGCAAAGGCGGTGGTGGTGGAGGCAAAGGCGGCGGCGGTGGAGGCAAAGGCGGTGGCGGAGGAGGCAAAGGCGGTGGCGGCGGAGGCAAAGGCGGCGGCGGCGGTGGAGGATCATCCTCTAGCGGAGGTGGCGGCGGAGGGTCGTCATCTTCTGGAGGTGGCGGCGGAGGATCATCATCCTCTGGAGGTGGCGGCGGCGGTGGCGGCGGTTCGTCGTCTTCTGGAGGTGGCGGCGGAGGCGGTGGCGGATCGTCATCTTCTGGCGGCGGTGGCGGCGGCGGCGGCGGTGGAGGATCAAGTTCCAGCGGTTCTTCCAGCAGTGGTCGCCGTTGATGGACTTTGTTTCTGATGGTTTCATGCAGAAACTTTATTGATTCCAGGAATCGGAAATATATTCAATCGCGCAGGACGTCGAAAAGTCCGTATTCCGTGTATTTTTTTTTTTTCGTGTTCCCCGCCCCTTTCCTTTTTGCTGCCATTTTCTTGAATTTCTCGGTTTCCTCCGATAGACAAAGGAATGTTTGCGTCGCTTGATTAGTAATTCCAATATTTATTCGAATCAAGACGAATTCATTGTACGTTCAAATTGTCTCGTGAGCACCATTTTCCGGGCTATACGAAAGCACACGCGAAAAAGTATTCAGCATGTATTGTCCGGTCTCATGCATGACACAAAGCAAAATGAGAAATAAAATGGATGCAATTACTGTGATCTTTCTCGATTATTTTTTAATTGGTCCTTTTTCTTATGTTTGGTATAGATCCAGACAAATGATGTTCAACAACTAATGGAATGCGCATGTGTGATAGTGGCTGTATGATTTATACAGTCAAATCCCGTTGAGACGCCCCCCAATAAAGCGCCACCCTTGGCAACTGCCAACATTTTTAATAAAACAAATCTGCCCCATGTTAAATTCTATAGAAAACCTTGATAAGATGCCAACTGCCATCTGCGAGTATTAGTGATGAAACAAAAGTGCTATTTCCTATTGGTTTTGTCTGTGTTACAAAGCCAACATTGCTTTGGAATTGTAATTTCTGTCAAGGATCTTGCGTTCATAAAAATAAAATTAAATAATAATCTTTTTTACATTTGAACAATATATTGACCTAATTTCAAAATTTGAGTAAATTTATCCAGCAAAATGAATTTTCTGAATGAGTAATCCATTGATCACAGCAATACTTTTTGGAAAATTTACTGAAGTTTCTAGAAAACCTGGATTTCTATGACTTTTGGAGTAAAATTCAGCATTTTTTTTATCAAATAATTAAAAATGAAATATTTGATGAACCCCCAAACCCTTTAAACCGCCAAAATTGCTCTGGAAAAATGGTGGTGTCTTATTGGGGTTTGACTGTAGTTTGCATCACAGATGGTTGTCCTGGTTAGACAAAACATCCGCTATTTTCACAGTACAATACCTTTCATTGTAAAAACAGATGACACATGAAATCATGACACAGCCCACAAAGTTCTAAGGCTCTGTGGTTTTTTCAGATTTTTTTTGTTTTCAATTTACTGCATGATGATGAGTGAAAACTCTCCAGCTACAGCCAGAGTTCTCCACTCATGCCACAGCAAGGGTGCTAGAATTTGTCAGGCTAGACAAACAAGACTTTTTTCTTCATTTTGACAATGACTGTTTGTAAAATGCAATAAAGATAATGGGTAAAGCAAAAAATGCAATTCTTTGCTGGCCTTTCAAATTTTTAGCACCCCTGTCACATGGGTGCATGGAGAACCCTGGCTGTAAAACTAGACAGTTTCCACTCATCAACACATGCACTTCTTGCAGTAAATTGACAAACTTCCTCAAAAAATCTGGGGAAAATATGTCAAAGACTTAGAAATCCATGGGCTATGTCGTGAGTTATTTCAAAAAACAGCATCATCACATGATTCTCAAGGAAAAAAAATTACTGTTCTTGTTTCTCTTCCGAAAAATGCTAAAATTAATTAAGGCTTTCCTTCCATTTTATTTTAAAAAATATGTATCTTTGAAAATATCAGAATTTACTAAGCATGGAGAAGGGTACCCACCGAAAGTAGGGCATGGTTTCTGGACAGTGATGACCTCAAGAGGAATGAAACCAAGGAACCAGGGGAAGAGGGGGAGACGGGATTCGGTGGCTTGGAACGGGACACAGCCAAGACCAAGTAATTGCCCAAATGAGGTTCGCCCGAATGACCTCCAAACAACTGAGCACCATGACTGCTGCTGTGAGGCTATTTGATAATACAGTACCATACTTTTCCAACAGAAAATCAACCTTCTTTTCAGGCATTTTGATTTTCATCCTTTATATAGAAGGTTAGAGGTTGCTTCTCTATGTGCAGAAGTGCTTGAGGTACAGGTTGAGGATGCAGTAGGCAGGTGAACTTTGTTGAGGAAGTCCCAGACTGAGAATAATATGAAGAGGAAGAATATTACAATCGCAAGGAAGAAATTCTGCTAGAAGGATACTTGGATGAGCAAAGTTTGTTATTGGGAAATGAGTACTAATTGTGGGGTTGTGCAGCGTGGCATGACCCAAGCATGGCATGACCCAAGTGTGGCATGACCCAAGCGCAGCATCCTTGTTTTGGGCATGCCAAAGTCACATGGCAACACGTGGCACATGCAGCAGAATCCTGCTGTGCACCCAGTTTGCTGCATTGTGGTAAACCAGGTAGCAAGATAATCATCAGATGGTGCAGAGGAGGATACAGGGCTCCAATGCAAACTCACTTCCCATGAGAGCGTTGCCTGACAATGTGTACCTGCAGAGAAACTGTCTTGTGTGCTGAACATTTGTGTGTGTATGTGTTGTATGTTTCTAGGGTTTCTTAAGTGCTGTGCCTGATTGCCTGTGAGTCTTTGGAATTAAACTGCTTTGATGGGACTCCAGAAAGGAGGATCCGGCCTTCTAAAGGCTGAGTGGTTTGTTTATTTATTTCTGTAAATTCTTTGTGGATCTGGCCCAACACTAACCACATTTCCACTTCTATAATGAGAGAGCAATATCAAATCCAAGGCTATAGAAAATTTGAGCCAAGGACCATAGGGATTTAGGCCAAGGGTGGGAAACAATCAGGATAGGCAAACTCCTCATTGGGGTATCTCTTCTTTGCACTGCTTGGTCCTGGCATCATGGCTCCTGATGCATGCACATTTTTTTTCTAATTCTGAGCTGAAATGAGTTTATTTTATTTCAAAATCATTTTCACTTCAAATTAGCTTCATCAGGAATCTAGTCATCCAGAGAAAAAAGTGCATGCAGTGAGTCTTTGGGAGCTCTGGGGCCCAGAGTCCTACTTGTCTCTTTTCCACCTTCTCACCCACTCCTTGTGAAGACTCTCCAAGACAGCATGAAAATTGCTGGTTAAACTTATTGCATTCTGTGTTTCCTTAATTCAAATCACTGTTCCTGTCTTCAACATTTTGCAATGGATATATCCCAAGCAATAGAAGAGTTCCTTCTGGTGAATTCAGCAGGAAAGTATAGAAGTTTGGTAACTCTGGGGTAGCTGGCCCACATTGTTGAAAAAAGTGGTGGTCAACATTCCCCCACGGCTTAAGCCTCTCGTGTGGTTTTCGTCCTGGTTGGTCTTCTGTACGCCTTCATCTGAGGATTTCGTTTTTGAAATCTCGCTATCCCTGTGGGGGAAAGGACTTCACTTGTCCTGAGATTTTCGTGGGAAACGGTTGTGTGCGCTGTGCTCTCCAGACGCAAATTTTCTGTCGGTTAAACTTTTGTGAGGTATTTGGAGATGTACTGGTGTTTCTTGTGCCTCATAATAGTTTTGAAATAGAGTACATAAAACTTTAATTTCAGTCCTTTTCATTGAGGACGGGCTGGTAAGCCAGCTGATTGTTGTGTTTCTCTTTTTTCTGGTTTTTCAGCATTAATTGATCTTCGAGAAAGTTGGACTTCAGCACTTATAGTCTCAGATTTCCAACAATCTGTGACAAAATTTGTGGCCAGTAAGAGTTTTAACGTAGACCCTAAGTTAAACTTTTCTTAGTTTCAAACTGTTCAACAGTTAAATCAATATAAGTATTCAAAAACAAGATGAGCTTCAAAATATGAAAAAATCTACCCTCTTTCCTTCTTCACTTCGATTTTTACCTGTGTGTGTGTGTGTGCGTGTGTGTGTGTTCGCCCGTTTTCACCAGAATTTTTACAAGACTTCCTCCAAACGAAATCTGTCATTTCCTTCATTAAAATTTTTTGTGAGTTTGTGCTCGGGTCTCCCGTTTCATACAAATCCTATTCTGTAATCTGTGAATTTAAGCCAACAAAAACATCTTCCTCTCCTCATTCCTCATCTCAAATTTTTATCTGAGTGTGTGTGTGTGTGTCCGTCCCCTTCTGTGAGTAGTTGCACTTCTTTTTTTTAATCTGAAAAAAAATCGATCTGCCTTACTCTTTATTTTGGTTTCTACCTGAGTGTGTGTATCTCCTTTCCTGTGATTCATCATCACTTCCTTCTTTTAAAAATAGTTTTCACCCCAATTTTCGTCCCAAAGCACTGCCAAATTGTCAAATGAATCCACAAGTGCAAATACATGGTCCTCCAACATAACCAACACTGCTGAAAGATATAATGGACAGTCAGAACAAAAAAAAAGCATAACACAAACAATCCTAAAAATCTGGCAAACAATTTAAAATGGAGCCATATGTGGCTTTACAAATCACTGATACAAATGGAAAAAACAAGCCTTTTTTCGAATATCCTCAACACTCTCTATGAGCTCAAAGTTAATCTTTCCTTTCATCTCTCAATGCTAATATTCAATGAAAAAGAATCAAATAACCAGACTGCAAAAATAAATCATTGAAATGGCTTTGAGATAACTCCAACTGACCTAGCTAGAAAATTGACATCCTTCCAACTAACCCAAAAACAAATCCTTTGAATCCCATTCCAACTCACCACACCAGCAATTCAAACTATTGTACAAAGCAATCCATCAATCACACAGCCTCCAATTCCATCACAACAAACTAACATAATAACAACTTCATGTCAATACTGAATAGCCAAATTATTGGTTAAAACATTTGTCTGGAACCAATGAAGTTCATTTACCAATAATAAGGGTTCACAGTAATTTTTTTTGTAATAAAAACATGCATAAATGATTTTCAAACTGCATGCTTGTTCTATCACAGCTTCCTGTTTACACTGGATAGAAATGAACAGAAAGGTCCTTCAATCTATACTCAGACATCCATTGCATGTACTGTATCTGGAAATTTCTTTTTTTCCCTACCCCTGTCTCTGAATAAGAGGGGGTTTGAATCACATTATTAGAACAAAGTTTGAATATGGCCACAAAATGCCTAATTTTACTGAAGTCACAACTGGACCTCTCCTATTTCAATAAATACTTTGATTTATACATTACAGTACAGTGGGCCCCCATCTTATGTCATCAATCCGTTCCAGGATGGATGTTGTAACATGAGGCCATTGTAAGTTGAAACCGTATTTCCCGTAAGGTTACATTATAAAAAAATTATTCCTTCCAAACAAAAAAATATTCAACTAAAATTACCTTTATATTTCAACTTTTTAATTCCTCCTAAACAAAATTATTCAGCTATAGTTAAATGCGCAGGGCAGTACAGAACTCACAAAATTCAAAATTTATCCTAAACACAATCCCAGCAAAAATTTCAGATTGCCGCCTGAGATGGCGGCTATTTTTACGCGTATCCTGGCCGTTTCAGGTGGTGGCCAAACGGTTTTGGCCAAACAGTAGGGATCTGTTTTCCTGACGCGGTCAGGATGGCGTAAAAAACGTTTTTAGTTGACGCTTTTGAAAGCGTCAGAGTCTGACGCTTTTAAAAGCGTTTTTAACCTAGTCCAAAACGTTTTTCCATGACGCTTTTGAAAGCGTCAGAGGCTGACGCTTTCAAAAGCGTTTCTTACGCTGTTAAAAACGTTTTTC